AAATGTGGAGCGTCCCTCGGTCCAGCCCCCAGGCGGCTTCCCTGCTCCGCCTTGCCGCCCTCCTGGATGAGCTCAGCTGGTCTCCTGGCTTTAAACACCCTCTGCACCCCAATGGCTTCTGAACGTACGTCTCCAGGGACCTCTAGTAAATGTGGAGCGTCCCTCGGTCCAGCCCCCAGGCGGCTTCCCTGCTCCGCCTACATGCCCTCCTGGATGAGCTCAGCTGGTCTCCTGGCTTTAAACACCCTCTGCACCCCAATGGCTTCTGAACGTACGTCTCCAGCTCGGACCTCTAGCCCAAGCTCCAGGTTGGAACCTCCAGCTGCTGACTCCATATCTCGCCCTGGATGTTGTCAAACTTAATACATTCCAAACTGGCCCTTGGACTCCCTGCCTCCCTCTGCCAGCTCCTCCCTCCATTCTCCATTTCAACAAGTGGTAACACCATTCACCCAGCGGCTCCAGCCAAGGACGGCCCTGGGCTCTCCGGTCAGCCCTATCTTCACTGTATATCCAGAATCTGACCATGACACTCACCTTCTCCACCTGGACCCTGGTCCACCCCACCTGCCTCTCCGGGCTACTAAAATAGCCTCCCGACTGCTCTGTTGCTTCCACCCTTCCCCTCCGTCTCCTGTCCACACAGCAGCCAGAGCGGTCTTTGGCTCCCATTGCACTTGGCTCTTACTGTGGCCTGGGAGGAGCCTGCCCCCAGCCCCACCACTCTGGGTCCTCCTGCCCCACTACTCTTTCTCCCGCTCGCTCAGCTCTGCCCAGCATCGGTCTACTACTCTAAGTCTACACTGAGCCCCTGACCCCAGCTCCTGCTTGGGAGGCCCGCCCTGATGGGTTGTCTCCACCAGAACCCAGCACCCGATGCCTGGGACACTGATGCCTGGGACACCGAGTGACAGGCTTCAACCCAGCCCTTCAGCCAGGGTGTCCTCCCAGGCGAGGAGGCGGGGCCTGAGCCTGTGCGGCAGCAGGCCAGGGGTCGCGTTCACTTCCTGGTGAGCTCCTTGGCACTAGTTTTCTCATTTGTAACATAGGGTAGGGAATCTCCATCCAGCCCACCTCTCTGGGAGGACCCAGTGGGCCATGTCAGGGACCAGGTGCCTTAAAATGAGCCGGATGTGGAGTCTACGACTGGGCAGAGCAGACATGCTGGTGGGCGTGGCGTGAGTTCCTGGGGATGCCCGGCCACTTCCCCAGGCTCCTTCTCTCTCTTTACTGTGGTTTCATTCACAGTCACTGTTCACCGTGGTTGGGGCATTTCAGGCTGTAACACTGGGTTCCCTTGGTGGATAGGCCAGAGGGTGCTCAACCAGAATGTTAACGGTGACCCATGAGCACAGGGCTGCCATGAGGCTACAGACAGGCAGTGGATCTGACCACCGTGGCCTGAGCTACTCTGGGCCCGGCTATCCCACCAGGATGAGCCGAGGGCTCCATCCTGACTTCCCCTGCCATGGCAGGAAGGTGGGCTATTATACGGCTCCATGCAGAGCCACAATGTGGACGGCAGTAGGGAGGCCGGGAGGGCGGGGTGCAGCGAGATGCACTCGCCCCTCGGGGTGGCCCGGCGCGGCACCGCACAACGCAGAGGGGGAGCGAGGTACTTACGCCATGATAATCACGCTGAAGTCCAGCCAGTTCCACGGGTCCCGAAGGAAGGTGAACGCATGCAGGCAGAAGCCTCGGGCCAGTATCTTGACCAGAGACTCAAAGGTGTAAATGGCAGTGAAGGTGTACCTGGGAGGAGAGACGGGTCTCTCAGGGAGGCGAAGCCTGCGGCCAGGCTCCCCGGCTCCCCAGGTGGCGTGAGTCCTGCGCGGCCCCCTCTCAGGGCCCCCAGGCTGGGCTGGCGGTGTGGGCTGAGCTTTGTCTCCAACCTCCAGCTAACAATCCACCTTCCCATGTGGCTACTCACACAGAGTGCCTGCCACGTGCCCCCTGTGCCTCCATCTCCTCTTGGTTGTCTTGATGTCAGAGGACCCTCCACCGACCTCCTTACCCCAGGCCTGGGAGTCCATGGGCACAGGCTTATGGTGGCCACTGGGTCTGCCCCGTGGGACAGTAAGGACACCCAAGTCACAGCCCCTCACCTTATTTGTGGGTCCCCAGCAGCTAGTGAGGAGAGAGAGCATGGTCCGCGCTCAACCGCCTACAGGGCAGGTGGCTACAGATGTCTATCGTGACCTTGGAAAGGGGGTTCTATTCTAACACCTGAGGATGGGTAGGGACTGTTCTCTCTGCCTGGATGCAAATGTGGAGCGTCCCTCGGTCCAGCCCCCAGGCGGCTTCCCTGCTCCGCCTACATGCCCTCCTGGATGAGCTCAGCTGGTCTCCTGGCTTTAAACACCCTCTGCACCCCAATGGCTTCTGAACGTACGTCTCCAGCTCGGACCTCTAGCCCAAGCTCCAGGTTGGAACCTCCAGCTGCTGACTCCATATCTCGCCCTGGATGTTGTCAAACTTAATACATTCCAAACTGGCCCTTGGACTCCCTGCCTCCCTCTGCCAGCTCCTCCCTCCATTCTCCATTTCAACAAGTGGTAACACCATTCACCCAGCGGCTCCAGCCAAGGACGGCCCTGGGCTCTCCGGTCAGCCCTATCTTCACTGTATATCCAGAATCTGACCATGACACTCACCTTCTCCACCTGGACCCTGGTCCACCCCACCTGCCTCTCCGGGCTACTAAAATAGCCTCCCGACTGCTCTGTTGCTTCCACCCTTCCCCTCCGTCTCCTGTCCACACAGCAGCCAGAGCGGTCTTTGGCTCCCATTGCACTTGGCTCTTACTGTGGCCTGGGAGGAGCCTGCCCCCAGCCCCACCACTCTGGGTCCTCCTGCCCCACTACTCTTTCTCCCGCTCGCTCAGCTCTGCCCAGCATCGGTCTACTACTCTAAGTCTACACTGAGCCCCTGACCCCAGCTCCTGCTTGGGAGGCCCGCCCTGATGGGTTGTCTCCACCAGAACCCAGCACCCGATGCCTGGGACACTGATGCCTGGGACACCGAGTGACAGGCTTCAACCCAGCCCTTCAGCCAGGGTGTCCTCCCAGGCGAGGAGGCGGGGCCTGAGCCTGTGCGGCAGCAGGCCAGGGGTCGCGTTCACTTCCTGGTGAGCTCCTTGGCACTAGTTTTCTCATTTGTAACATAGGGTAGGGAATCTCCATCCAGCCCACCTCTCTGGCTGGTGGGAGGACCCAGTGGGCCATGTCAGGGACCAGGTGCCTTAAAATGAGCCGGATGTGGAGTCTACGACTGGGCAGAGCAGACATGCTGGTGGGCGTGGCGTGAGTTCCTGGGGATGCCCGGCCACTTCCCCAGGCTCCTTCTCTCTCTTTACTGTGGTTTCATTCACAGTCACTGTTCACCGTGGTTGGGGCATTTCAGGCTGTAACACTGGGTTCCCTTGGTGGATAGGGCAGAGGGTGCTCAACCAGAATGTTAACGGTGACCCATGAGCACAGGGCTGCCATGAGGCTACAGACAGGCAGTGGATCTGACCACCGTGGCCTGAGCTACTCTGGGCCCGGCTATCCCACCAGGATGAGCCGAGGGCTCCCTCCTGACTTCCCCCTGCCATGGCAGGAAGGTGGGCTGTTAGACGGCCCCATGCAGAGCCACAGTGTGGACGGCAGTAGGGAGGCCGGGAGGGCGGGGTGCAGCGAGATGCACTTGCCCCTCAGGGTGGCCTGGCGCAGCACCGCACAACGCAGAAGGGGAGCGAGGTACTCACGCCATGATAATCACGCTGAAGTCCAGCCAGTTCCACGGGTCCCGAAGGAAGGTGAACGCATGCAGGCAGAAGCCTCGGGCCAGTATCTTGACCAGAGACTCAAAGGTGTAAATGGCAGTGAAGGTGTACCTGGGAGGAGAGACGGGTCTCTCAGGGAGGCGAAGCCTGTTGCCAGGCTCCCCGGCTCCACAGGTGGCGTGAGTCCTGCGCTGCCCCCTCTCAGGGCCCCCAGGCTGGGCTGGGGGTGTGGGCTGAGCTTTGTCTCCAACCTCCAGCTAACAATCCACCTTCCCATGTGGCTACTCACACAGAGTGCCTGCCACGTGCCCCCTGTGCCTCCATCTCCTCTTGGTTGTCTTGATGTCAGAGGACCCTCCACCGACCTCCTTACCCCAGGCCTGGGAGTCCATGGGCACAGGCTTATGGTGGCCACTGGGTCTGCCCCGTGGGACAGTAAGGACACCCAAGTCACAGCCCCTCACCTTATTTGTGGGTCCCCAGCAGCTAGTGAGGAGAGAGAGCATGGTCCGCGCTCAACCGCCTACAGGGCAGGTGGCTACAGATGTCTATCGTGACCTTGGAAAGGGGGTTCTATTCTAACACCTGAGGATGGGTAGGGACTGTTCTCTCTGCCTGGATGCGGGGGCTGTGGCCCCGAGGAATGGGAGAGGGCCACCCCCTGTGCCTCCCAGGTCCCAGCAGCTGGATGCAGGCCCCGGGGAGGGGGCAGCACTGAGGGGTCCCGTGTGAACAGGGACCGCCACCCGCAAGCTGCTTCCATCTCCTGAAAACAGGAGCCAGATGCACCAGGAGCCTCTCAGGTCTGCTCAGCACCCGCAGGTAAGGCTGTCATCGGGGAAGGACGGAGCAGAAGCAGTTTTCTAAACGGTGCACATGGTGACAGAGGCAGGACTCGGAGGGAAAAGGCGGCAGAGTGTGGTGTTGAAGTGGGGAGAGCCCTGCGCCTCTTCCGGGCGGCCACACCTCCTAGTGGCATGGTATCGGGCAAGGCACTACTCTCCTCTGTCTCCTCATCTGTCAAATAGGATGTCCGCCTACCCTCCTGGGTCACCGTGAGGGTTCAAGGAGATGATGATGTTTACTGTTCGATGGCTGCGTCTGCCATGCGCTAAGTGCTCAATCAGTTATTATTGTTGTTGTTGTTGCTGTTGTTGTTTGAGAGCCTTCTCCCATGTCCTCAGGCCTCGTTGGGAGGAACCCCTACCTCCCCTGAGGGCACAACTCAGAGCAGGAAGCCGGCAGGAGGGGAAGCAGCAAAAGAGGGTGGGGGCTGGGCCAAGAACCCCCCAGGTGGGTGCATCCCTGAGCCTGGGCCCAGCCCTCTTCAGGGGTGACTGGTGGGGCCATAGAATAGAAGGGGAAGGAAGGGAGGGAGGGCCCAGCCGGAGAGGCCCTGAAGATACTCACTCGACATACTTGGTCCAGGGTGGAGGGTCGTGCTGGGCCATGAACACGCAGTTGGTCAGGATGGTGCACATGATGAGCATGCTGAAGAGCGTGGCCAGGGGTCAAGGAAAACCACGCCAGGGGGTGGCGGGGGTCAGCCAGGACACCAGGGCCAGAGGGGCCTGGCCCGGGGGTCGTCACTCCCAGGCCAGAGCTGCCACAACCATGAGACAGAGGCTCCAAGAAGACACATTGGAGCTGTGTCCAGTCCTTACCAACCTCCCCAGTCAGGCTGGTCTCTGTCCTCTCCCTGGCACTGCAGCCCCTGAGAGGGACCAGACACACGAACCTGCACCTTTAGCAGGTCCCCTGAAGGGCCCATCTGGAGGCAAGGGGGGAAGGGCACGCCCAGACCTCAGAGGTTTTTACAGCCTCTTTGGAGGGAGGTGGCATTTGTAAACCTCCTCAGAGGCCACTGTCGGAGAGGAAGGCCATGGTGCAGGGTCCGAGTCCTCCCCCAGCCCCCCCACCCCCCACTTCTGTAGGAGCAGCCCAGGCTGACCTGTGGCCTAGGACTTCTCCGTAGAAGTGTCCTGCTGACACAGCTTCTGTACCTTGTTGGGACACACTGGCCCCGGGAGGCAGGGGGCAGCGTACCCAGCTGCTTCCTGCCTTTGCTCATCTCTTCACTATTGTCCTCTCTCCCACCTCATACACACCTTCTCCTCCTCTAAGACGTGCCCCGCCCCTCCACCCCCCCCCCCCAGCAGGAGCACCTTAGCATGTGGTTGCTCTCCGACTGTCAATGTCCCCAGCCAGAGGGGAGCCCTTCAAATGCTCGAACTGTCCTGGGCATCCTTCCGGGCCCTTGGCCTTGAACTGAACTGCCTCAGGCCTGGTCTGGCCCGGACTCTTTGGCTGTTAAGTCCCAGCTGCTGCTTCAGGCTGGACTGATCTCCACGGCCTCCCTCACCCCTGCAAGACCTACAGAGAAGCAAGGGGCAGACCCTGGGCCCCCCGTGGGCTGGGGCACCCCCAAGAGCCCTGGCCTGGACCAGGAATACTCTGCTGCCCTCACAAATCCCCTCCCCAGCCAGAGAGGAGAGGCTGGGCCTCCTCCTCCCTGTGGCTGCCCCAGGCTCCCCATGCTGCCCCAGCCTCAGCCCCTCATTCCCACAGGCTGCCCGGAGCTGCAGTAATTGAGCTCCAGGGGCCTGCCTCCTTCCTCCTACCACAGCTCCACCTCTTCCACGGCCGACCCGGCCTTGGCAGATGGGGAGACCAATGCAGTCAGACTGGAGATCGGGCCGAGCTGGGAGCTGACTTGTGAGTGGAGGGGCTGCCCCGGCTGGGGGCAGAAGTGAGGCCTCTCAAGGAATCCAGGTGGGAGCTCTCCACACCCCCAGTCCTCCTAGAGCAGCGGTTCTCAACCTGTGGGTCGCGACCCCTTTGGGGGTCGAACGACCCTTTCACAGGGGTCGCCTAAGACCATCGGAAAACACATATATAATTACATATTGTTTTTGTGATTAATCACTATGCTTTAATGATGTTCAATGTGTAACAATGAAAATACATCCTGCATATCAGATATTTGCATTGCGATTCATAACAGTAGCAAAATTACAGTTATGAAGTAGCAACGAAAATAATTTTATGGTTGGGGGTCACCCCAACATGAGGAACTGTATTAAAGGGTCGCGGCATCAGGAAGGTTGAGAACCACTGTCCTAGAGAGACTAGGGAACCGGCAATCGCCTGCCGAACCCAGCCCCCAGTTACAATAAACTCTCCAGGTTCTTATCTGGGATGAGAGGGGTCAGGCTTTGGAGCCCCCTTAATCAAACCACAGCTGCTCAGCTCCAAAGCCACAGCCCCCAGGGAGCCTGCATTCCTCCCTGGCAGGGAACAACCCTCCCCCCAGGCGCTGAGGTCCCCCCTTACCCCTAGCTTGGTGTCTGCATCCACCTGCCTGTGTGACAATCTCTGTGTCAGGCCCACCTCCCTCTCCAGCTTTCAAAGGCAGGATCAGATTCCCATCTCAGTGTTCTCTCTCTCTCTCCCCCTCTCTCTCTCTCAGACACACACACACACACACACACACACACACACACACACACACGCCCCACACCTGGGCTCCATGCCGAGTCTTTCCTCATCGGGCAGACAGTTAACAAGCCCCTTGACCAGCCTTTACTCACCCCACAGGCTGCTAAGCCCTCTATGAGGATCCCAGATGAGCCCTGCCGTCTGAAATGATGCTAAGAGCAAGCACTTGTGGAGCCGGGTGCCAGGCTCTGCTCCCTGAATCCATGAACTAATTCGATCCTCCCAACAACCCATGAGGAGATACTTCACAGACAGAGGAGACCAAGGCACAAAGAGGTGCAGGTGAAGGATACTGTAGCAGGTAGAACAACAGCCCCCTGAAGACAACCAGACTCTGATCCCCAGAAACGGTGATTGTTCATTGATGTGGCAAAGGGACTTTGCAGATGTGATTAAACTAAGGATCCTAAGATGTAGAGATTGTCCTGGGTTTTCTGGGTGGGCCCAGGGTCATCACAGGGTCCTTACAAGTGAGTGGGGATGAGGGGGGAGGCAGGGAGCCAGCCTCAGAGGGATGCGTGTGAGAAAGACTCCACCAGCTGTCACGGGCTGAAAGATGAAATGGACCGAGAGCCAGGAATTCACGCAGCCGCTACAGACTGGAAAAGCCTAGAAGGCATTCTCCCCAGAGCCTCCACACAGGGGTAGCCCTGCCGATGTCTTGATTTTAGCCCGGGAGAACTTTTGGGATTTCTGACTCCAGGAACTGCAAGGGGATAGTTTCGTGTTGCTTTAAGCTGCTAGGCTCGCAGTGATTTGCTACAGCAGCCGCAGAAAATGACTGTAGGTACACAGCTGGCCCACGGCAGAGCCCAGCTCAGCCACAGCTGGCCCACACCGGAGCCCCTGCACAATGACAACAAAAGTCAACTGGGCCACACCTGCCTCCAGACTGTAGCCTCCTCACCCAGCAAGGGGGAATGCGATCCCACCCTGGCCCTTTGCCACCCACAGAGCAGCATGAAAACCAAACACACGCAGGGCTCACACCTGAGAGTAAGCAGCTCGGCCGGTGTGGCTCAAGAGCTGAGTGTCATCCCGCACCAAGAGGTCACTGGTTCGATTCCCAGTCAGGGCACATGCCTGGGTTGTGGGCTCCATCCCCAGTAGGGGCCGTGCAGGAGGCAGCTGATCAATGTCTCTCTCTCTCTCTCAACAATAACAACATATATACATATATACATACACATATATATATGTATATATATATTTTTTTAAAGTGTAAGCAGACTGCCATGCTATATATATATATATACACACACACAAACATATATATATATGTATATATTTTTAAAAAGTGTAAGCAGACTGCCATGCAGGAGGAGTGAACTTATTTGCCATTTTTAAGAACTGCCACCTGAGCCGGCCCTGTGTGGGAGACAGGGAGGCCCTGGACTCACGGGGCTGCTCTGAGATAGGCTGTTATAAGAAACCAGCCCTGCCTCCAGCTGGGCTTCCTGGAGGAGGTGTTCAGACAGGCCCCGGAAGCTGGCTAGGCTTCCTCTATCCATCAGTCAGCCCAGCGGTCGTGGCAAAACGGGGTGGGCTGAGGAGGCGGAGACCCCCCTCCGTGGAGCCAAGCCGCTCCTGGCTGTGGGGGAGCCGCTCACAGCTCTCACTCGAGTGGAGAAGGCCCTTGGCAGGGAGCAGCAGGGTGGACAGGCTGCCTTGGCCCAGAGGACTTGCCTGGACACGGACAGAGGGGAGCTGGACTCTAACAGCCAGACTCAGGAAGATCGAGAGGAGACAGCACCCCCCCACCCCCCAAGTCCTGCAGCCAGTCTGGGCCCCACAGAGAGAAGTGATGGGCTGCCTGTCCGGGCGTAGCAGACTCTAGTCTCTGCCACTTGATGCTGAAAACCCTGCTGTCTCTCCTGGCCTTGAGGACGCCACTTCCACTGCTCTCCGCCGTGTGTGTGTGTGTGTGTGTGTGTGTGTGTGTGTGTGTGACCACTTCCCACCCAGACTGAGCCTCAAGTCCATCGGGCTTTGCCCAAAGCATCCCCAGGTCCCCCATGGAGCCCAGCCCGGAGCCAGCACCAGAGAGATGAGTCAGGTGCACTCCTGGCCAGGCCACACCTGTTTGCACTGCCTGGTTCTTTCGGGCCGATGACTGAGCTGGTCCGGTGTGTGGGCAGAAGCACAGGCCAGCTCTCCAGGCCTGAGCCCAGCGGAACATCTCCCATCCTGTCGTGTCATTGTCCCCAAACACCCACGCCCGACCTCCTGGTTAAAAAGCCAGCGAGGACCGCCTCCCAAGGAGTCAACTCCCCAAGGGAAGGGAAGGAACGGAGCGGGTGTTTTCATAGATTTGTGCTATGAAGCGAACACACACACACACACACACACACACACACACACAAACATGCGGTTTGATTGCCCATTTGAATCTGCTAGAGACGTGGGAGGCTCTGTGAACAGATCCTGGGCACCCAGGCAGGCGAATGCCTCTTGGTGTGAACATGAGGCCTCTCAATGTGACTGCGGCGGGATTGGGAGTTCAGTCAGTTCCTTTTATTTAATCCCGGCAGGAGCACATCTTGCAGCATTTTAGCAGAAGCACATAGGGAGCCATAATTCAACATGCCCATATTTACCTTTGAGGCGCCTTCCCAGCATGCACTGCCAGCGTGGCGCACAGGGCACAGCTGAGCTGAATCAGCGTGCACTCGCGAGCACGGCACTGGGAGCGCCTGGGTTGTTGCCAGTGAGCAGGGGCTGCGTTCCCGCCCCCTCCTCAGCCTGTCTTTGCCCCTCCTGCCCTTTCCAAAGGGCCTGGCACAGACCTCTGCACAGTGAGGACTTAGGCGTTTGAATGGATAGTAAAGATGTAAGCCACCAGCTCCGGGTATAGCATTTCCCTTTCACAAGATGAAAAAGTTCTAGAGATTTGTTGCACAGCAACGTGCGTGAAGGTGACATCAGTGTACTGTACACTTGAAAATGGGCAAGAAGGTACATCTTAGATGTCTTCTAACACAATACAAAATGTAAGCAGAGAGAAAGTTCCTAGTTCAAAACATGACATCTGTGAGCCTTAGAAATGCACAGTGACTGCTCATGGGCAGGGGGTTTCTGCTTGGGGTGGTGACTTTTATGGTACCTGAATTATACCTTTATTTTTTTTAAATGCATGGAAAAGCTGTGGAGCCCTAGGCCTCGCACAGGTGACTGAGGTCTGCAAAGGGCTGGGTGTGCCAGGTGAGGCTGAGGTGGCCCTCACAGACTGACTTTTGGAAACAACTGCCCTAGGACAGTACGTTCAGGAATCCTTGGGACCCGCTAAAACGTTTGCAAGTTGGGCCTGAGATCTGGCAGTTCCTACAAGATCCCCGTGATGCTGATGCCACTGGTGGGTGGACCTCACTCTACATGGCAAGGCTCAGGGCACGGAGCTGCTCCCAAACCTCACAGATCTAGGCCCCTTCCTCATTGCCAGTGCCCCCTGAGCCCACTAAGGGGCGCTGTTGAGGGCCTGCCATGGTCCCCCACCCATCCCCAGGCAGTGGAGTGCCAAGGCAGCCGCTTAGGAGCCCAGCACAGGGCTTCTCTCTCATGCTGAGCCACTTCCCTGGGGCAGCTGTCCTGGGAGATACGGGCTGGCTCAGACCCCTCAGGGCTAGTCTTGCTGGGTGGTACCAGGACCTCCCAGCCTCAGAATCACTGTTCCATGGACCCTCTGGCTAGGCTGGGACCTCCAGTGTCCCCACAGCTTCCCCGGCCCACCTCCTCCCTGGCCTCATCGGCCCCACCCCCACCCGGGGCTGTGCAGGGGCCCTGGGGCTGCTGCCGCATCTCTGGGGCCTGCTGCCGCTGCCAGGCAGTGCTGGGTTGGTTAGATACCAGGAGGAGAAACCCCAGGGGGGAGCCCGAGCAGGTGCCAGGGAGGCCACGCCCTCACAGTGAGGCCGTAGTCAGGCTCAGAGCAAGACAGGCGGCTGGTCTCTCCTCTCCGCTGCCCGCCCCACTGTTCTCGCCAGGCTGTGCCCACACACCTGCAGGAATGACAGCTATTCCTGTAGCTGTCTCATCCCTCTCAGGGGACTATAACATTCCCCAGGGGGGCAAGGACAGGGTCTTATTCAGCTTAATACCCTCAGGGTGCCCAGCAAAGTCCCGGGCATCTACAGGGCGCTTGGGACCAGTGGCAGAAGGGCCCACAATTAAACCTAGAACCACTCTCGCCTCACCAAGTAAGATGTAGCTGTGCATGGCAGGCTGCCCCTGAATACGGCCCCTCTCCACGGACGTGTCTGCCCACCCAGCTGATGCCGCTGCCACAGCGTTAAGTGTGGGACTTCCCTGGCCTTACACGTGTCTCAGCCACCTCCTGAGAAAGGCAGGCGCGAGCAGAGGAGGGGAGCGAGAGGGCCTGCATGCAGAGAACGGAGGCAGCACTGAGCCCCTCCTGTTAACCCCTGGGGTGAGGATCGGCATGGGGCCCCGGGGGAGCCATCCTCAGCCCAGCCCAGACAGGAAAACCCCTGAGCTGTCAGCAACGGTCTTGGTTACTTCGTCCCTCACTGGGCAGCTGTCTTCGTGAGCCTCTTGCCCGCCCAGAGGTTCACGGGTGAGGTCTCTGCCTTTGGCCCTCCAGAGTGGGGAACTAAGAGGGACCTTCGGGGGCTCCATCCGGCCAGCCCACCACACCCACAACTAATCACACGGCTGAGCCCAGCAGCATGGATGCCCAGGACTCTGCAGCCAGCTCTGCCCTCTCGGAGGGCTGTCTGTGGGGCCCCTCTTCTGAAGTGGGGAGAACAGCCGTGCCTGGATGCTGGCACCCCGTCCCATGGGTGGTCCAAGACCAGTACATGTCCCCCATACTCCACAGCTCTCCTGGGCGGCCGCGGCTTTTTTAGGCTGTGGTTTATATATATTACTGAACGCTAACCCGAGCTCTTTGAGATACTCCGAAACTGCAAACATTGTGTCAACACCTAATCAAAAAGCAAGCGCTGCCCCCCCCCCCCTCGGAAGATGCCCATGTGCCGAGGAGCCAGACGCCTCTCTCTTGGGCAGTGGTTTCTCCTTGGCTGAGCCGGGGGGACCTGCTGGAGGTTCCTGCGAGTGGGTGGGGAGGTGCAGTGGGAGGGGATACCTGGGGACAGTACCAGAGCCAGGGGACACCGACAGGCCTCATTCCTTCTGGCACGCTCAGTAGCTTAGCTCCTAGGACATTTCTCCCCTGAAAAATCAGAGAAGGGTTCCCCAAACTTCCACGGGCCCAGGACTCCACTGGGACCTTGTTGCAATGCAGGTGCTGGCTGGCAGGTCTGGGCTGGGGTCGGAGACTCTACATTTCCAACCGGCTCCTCCCGGCGGATGATCGGGCTGCTTGTTTGAGGACCTGGCCCTGCCCTGTCCACCCGCCACATGGGGCCCAGAGGGCACACCGAGCAGGCACTGCCCGCAAAGGATATGAATGAACCAGGATCTTCACGGCCACTCTCCGGATGGGGTGGAAGGGGCTGAGGACGTACAAGGCGTTGGTGGCACTGAACCGGAAGATGGTCTTGCCTTTATTCAGCACGATGAAGGTCTGTGGACAGAGAGCTGCTTTAGGTCGGGTGGCAGCCCCTCGGCCCTTGTGGAGACAGGTTTGGGGGGCAGTATTGGCTTAAACCCTAGAGCCCTGGCTAAGGGGTGGGGTGGCAAGAAGAGAGGGCCTGAGGGAGGGGTGAGGGATCGGGGAGCAGCATATTCTGAAGGTCATTGGACTCTCACGGGGTCACCATGGCTGGGAGGGGGTGAGGTCAAGTTTAGGAGAATGTCAAGGGTGGGTGGGATTTCCTTTACGTTCAAAATGACCATCCCAACAAGAAGGGCTCTCCTGATCCTGGCTGAGCTGCAGTCACAGCAGCGGCCGGGGCCCAGCGGACGCTCCCTCCTTCTCCTTCTCCCTTGGACCCCTCCCTGCCTGGTGTGGCCTCCGCACTGGACCACGGGGGAGTGAAGCCTGAGGGGTGAAGACCAGAGTGGGGAAAGGGCAGAGAGCAGCGTTCCCGTGACCCTGTCTCCCTTCCCGTGACCCTGTCTCCCGGAGCCCAGGACAGATGTCAGCCCCATCCCGTGACACAGTGTCTCCCCTGGAGGGATTGTGAGCAGCCCAAGGTAGACCCTTCCCCAAGCTTCTAGAAGACACTGTCTACACAGCACGATGGGGCATGAGCATCGTGGCCGAGCCTCAGGCGCATCGAGTGGGTGTTTGGGCCGGCCCCCGAGGACAGCGGCCACGCCCCTGCCCAGCTGTACGGTGTCAGCCCCATCCCGTGACACAGTGTCTCCCCTGGAGGGATTGTGAGCAGCCCAAGGTAGACCCTTCCCCAAGCTTCTAGAAGACACTGTCTACACAGCACGATGGGGCATGAGCATCGTGGCCGAGCCTCAGGCGCATCGAGTGGGTGTTTGGGCCGGCCCCCAAGGACAGCGGCCATGCCCCTGCCCAGCTGTACGGTGGCACGGCTGAGGCGGCACGGCGCTGGGCTCTCGCTTCTCTAAGGCTGCCGTTGCTGCTGAGACAAGGCTCTGTTTAATCTGGGTAGGGGGACGAGTTGACCAGATATCCCAGGACCAAACGTGCTGCTGTGGTGCCCGCCTTGCCCTGTGGGTTGCGGGCAGTGTGGCCGGGGTCAGAAAGGAGAGACAGAGGTTAGAGACCAGAATCATACCTGGGCCTCGGTTCAAGTATTCCCGGTCACAGGGACAGAAGAGAGTGTCCCTGACTCCTTCCAGGCCCAGCTGCCACCAGCCCCCGCAGCTCAGCTCAGCTCAGCCCGGCCGTTGGGTCCCCATGCCACGACCGCTGCCTGTCCCAGCGAACTACGACCTAACCACCCCTTTGAGTTGCCACGGGAGCCTTGACTTGCCACCAGCTGCGGTCTTACCCCCACCCTAATTCTTACTTCCAGCTCTGACCAACCATGACCTAAGCCCACCCACCCTGACGAATCCCAACTCCCAGCCTAACTCTGACCCAAACTGTGGCTCCAGCCACCAACCGGAACCCCGCCTGAGTCACGTGAACCCGGGGGAAGCAGGGCAGGTTCAAGGTCTCCCTGCCCACCTGTGCACACACACAGATGTGGCTTTCCCTTCACCCTCGCCCACTCACACCAGCATTCACGCGTGGAGACAGTCTGGAACCACACCCACCCTCAGCCCCTTCGTCTCCTAAATGCCATCTCACACAGTCAGGTGCCGGGTGACACAGACACACGGCGCTTACACCGGCCACGGACTTGCACCCGCCCTGGGAACACAGGTCCCCGCTGCGCTCACTGCTTCCTCCGCCCTGTGCTGACTGCAGCGCCGTGAGCAGCCACTGTCCACGGTCCCTGCCTTCTGGGGAAAGTTGTCCCCCCAGTTCAAACCCACTTTCCTCCAGCAGGGAGGGTGAAGTGAGGGTGGCCGGGCTGGGGACCAGGCTTCTGCAGGAGCCCTGTGTGCCTGGGGTCTGGCCGGGTGCAGGGCTGGGCACTCAGTCCTGAGAGGGGAGGTCAGGGCAGGACTCCGACGGGGAGCTCACCTTCTGGATAGAAATCTATACGAGGCGGGAGCCTGACTCACCCTGTGCAGTGGGTAAAAGCCACCTCCTCTCCCTACACGGAGGAGGGACAACGGCAAGACAAGCCCCTCCCCACCCCTCTCAGACTTCCCACCGGCCAGCTTGGTCCCGCTGCCAGCCAAGGCCCAGCGGGTCCTCCCAGGCTGCCCGCCGTCCCCAGTGAGGAGCGGGACGCCGTGCTCTGGGGCCCAAACTCAACTCAGGACAGGACTCAGGGCCCGCCTGCAGCTCACACACACCACGGGGATGGGGTGCAGAGCTCTGCAGGTGAAGGCTAACCCCCGACAATTCCCCAAGCAGGGACTCCACCGGGTAGCAAGACTGTCACTGTGGCCGCCCTCTCTTTCCTCCTAACACCAAACAATCCCGGGCTGCACATGTCTGGCCTTTTATTCTGGAACTCCAAAAGGAAGGTGATTGGAATATAGATCACTGATGACTCACTCCCCCAGCGCCCAGAGGAGCCCGCCCCAAAGAGTCCAGCGTGGTGGAGGCCCTGTCCCCAACTGCCGTGGG